TGCACATAGCTTATCCAATTATTTTGATCCCTCAGAAATATCCATACTCCGATGATTTATAACTGATCGGCCTCAAGCCCATTAGTAGCAAAACGGTATGCTTTCATAGTTACACTAAAATCATTATTCCAGAATGAACATAATTATTAATAAGTACAACGTATTTCACAACTTGGCCCTCGGCCTCATAGGTTCACAAATTCACAAATTCACACATTGGCCCTTGGCCCAATAGATTCATAACTTCTCAAATTGGCCCTCGGCCTAACAGAGTTACAGATTCACAAATTCACACATTGGCCCTCGGCCTCATAAATTCACAAATCGGCCCTCGGCCCTCGGCCTCATAAATTCACAAGTCGGCCCTCGGCCTCATAAATTCACAATTCACAAGACTTTCAATGTTTCCATAGGTTCATAGTTCACAAGACTTTCGATGTTTCCATGGGTTCATAGTTCACAAGACTTTTGATGTTTCCATAGGTTCATAGTTCACAAGACTTCCGATGTTTCCATAATTTCACATTGTTTCCCGAATAGCACACATATTAACATAGTTTCTTGCGATGAACATAACGTTCATAACAATAATTATTAACGATAATAAAGGTACTTCGTTACTACTATTACTCACAGTGTTGTTGCAGAGCGGTGGTTCCTCCTGTAGTGTGTCCTACACACATAGATAACACACATTAGTTCCTTTTTCCTGATTAAACCATTTCTTGAGTCATTACACTTCAATTGCATTTACAACCATCTTAAGATCATCAGAAAAATATAATAAAAATACCAGAGAGGCAAGCACGCAAAATTGAGCGATAAAGTTTTCGGACCTGGGCCGCACGTACGGCCGGACCCTCTGCATGAGCGGACATGCACCGCACGTGTGGTCCTCCCCCTCCGCTCGAGCGGCCGTAGACAGTATACATTCCAATTTTTTTCTTCTTTGTCCGCACGTGCGGCCATGACCTCCGCACGTGCGGTGGTGACCCCTGTTTTGGGCAGCTCGACTTCCACTCAAAATTTAGCTACACCACTTCAATTTACATGCAAACCAAGATGAAATTCATGCAATATATTGACCCTACTTCACTATAACATGAATCATCATTTAAACACCACAAAATAAACATGATTAGAAGCTTACTCAAGTCACAACCCTTCTCAATTCCATCTTTTAATTCAAGTTCCTTATGTTTATTAAAACATCCTACATTCCATAAATATACTTTCATGGGTTTGACATGGAAAACAAAGATTGAGATAAAAATCCTACACAACACTTGAGTTAGCTCTCAAAACAACCAATTAATGAGCATAACTTGGTAATCACACCAAAAATTACACACAACTCTCCATTACAACCCTAGTAATATACATATGAAATTAACAAACCCTTCTTCACAATTAAAAAGGGAATTCTCATGTACAATAAATTTAACATACCTTGAGCTTTAAAAATTTCAAAGATCCTCCTAATTTAATCCCAGTTCCCTTCCTTGTTGAACCTTGCCTTTGTTCCCTTTTCTCTTCTTTCGTTTTTCCTCTCCAGGAGATATTTCAAGTTCTTGATCAAGCTTCCAAGGACTTAGACTTTTCTATATTCTTATATAAAGGCATATAGGACAAAATTCCATTGTTTAATCATTCCGAAAGTGAAATTTCGTAAACATGCTTGATATTACATAAAAATTATGCTGATCACAGATATATAATCAATTTCAGATAATTAAGCCGTTAAGGCTTCCAATTTTTAATTCAAACGTGTTAATGGTGACAGATAGTTTTCTTGTGAAACAAATTGGTATCCATAAACATAAATTTCCTTTACTTAACCGTAATTTTTCATGGGATTTTACAGTAACATTTTAAAAGCACAAAACAAAGGCTGAAAATATATCAGAAAACATGTACGAGGGTCGGGTTATTACATATCCGTAGGAGGCTTGTTACAGCCCAAAGTCGCCAAAAGAGTTATGCCGACCGTAGGAGGAGGCCTTTGGTTTTTGAGATAGGTGACCATGTCTTTCTAAAGATATCACCTAGGCGTTTGATGAGGTTTGGGAAGAGTGGAAAGTTATCCCCTCAGTTTATCGGTCCCTTTGAGATCCTTGAGAGGATTGGGGAGGTTGCTTATCATTTAGCTTTGCCACTGTAGTTGTCCGGAGTGCATGACGTGTTTCATGTGAGTATGCTTCGGAAGTATGAGCTGGATCCGTCCCATGTGTTAGATTGGACCGACTTAGAGGTAGATGAGGATGCCTCGTATGAAGAGAGACCGGTTCAAGTCTTGGATAGGCGGGATCAAGTCCTGCGTGGCAAGACCATTCCCTTAGTGAAGGTTTTGTGGAAACATCACGGAGTGGAGAAAGCCACTTGGGAACGTGAGTTGGAGGTCCGCGAGAAATATCCGGACTTATTTGTTGACGTGTAATCATGCTTTGGAAATTTTGTAATCTTATTGAACCTTAAGAGAATTATATATGTCTTAAGTTGTAAAATATTGTGAATGTTTTGTTTTATGGAAGTATTGTAGACCTTGCCTTAAATTGGAAGTTTGTTATAACATTGTATATGTTGAATGTATTGTAGAAATGAAGATATATCATGAATGTGGAATATGATATAGAATTGTGAAACATATATGTAGAAATTGATGAATTTCGAGGAAAGCATGTTGTTAATACATATTGAGATATGTGGTAAATTGCCTCTTGAATGGAGATGGAATGACCGGAAACGGGTCGAGTTGTTAAATTTTGCATTTATAATAATGTTGGGAATTGAGAAAATCTTGTTTCTGAAAAAAAAAAACTTGTATTTAATTTCGGGGACGAAATTCTTTAATTGGGGAAGGTTATAGCGATCCCGGTTTTCCCTTTCGATATCTATTGTATTCCGGACTTTGGTTCCGTGGAGTTGGTAGTTGTATCTATCTTATTGTCATCCTTTGATTCCATTTGTTTGAGTTTTAGGATGTGTTGGGCATATTTCGAGCAGGTGGGTTGAGCCTTGGTCTAAAATCTTGTTGCCAGGTTTTTGGTCGTTCTGCTCGAGCGGGTCGTCTAGCGCTCGAGCAGATATTGCACACTCCCAGTATTTTGGTGCTCTGCAAAACTTCTGCATGTGTGATTTCTACGCTCGTGCGGGTCGCGCTCGAGCGGGCTTGTTGGAGCTCGAGCGGGTAGTACATTTTTTGTGTGAGTTCTGGGAGGGGGAAATCTACGCTCGAGCGGACTGGTTTTCGCGCTCGAGCGGATGTACTTTATTCTTGTGTCTTGGAGCTCGAGCGGGCCTTCTTGCGATCGAGCGTGTCTAGATTTTTGTGCGTGACGCTCGAGCGTCCTGTTCTACGTTCGAGCGAGAATGTCGTATATCAGAAGGCAGTTAGGCATTTTTGAATCACTTTTTTACATTCACTCTCTCTCTCTTACTTTTCCAAAACCGATTTTGAGAGCCTTTCTCTCTAGAAACTCCCTTCTCTCTAGGGTTTGATCTAGTTAGAGTGTTTCCCTTTCCTTTGGCCTTTGTAAAAGTTGTGTTGATCGTCAAGGGCTTCGTTTTGATCCGTGGATCTTGGAGTTTGGAGCATTTTGGTTTTCTTCATCTCCTTCCCTTGGGCTCCGAATTTTAGGTAGGGATTCCTACTCACTTTTACGGGTTTTGACCTAGATATTGAGTTTTTTGTATAAATGGTTTTGGGTTTTGGAAACTAGGGTTTCAAATGTATAATTTTGAAAAGAGGGTTTTGTTTATTTTGGACCATAAATACGTATTTGGATTTCAAAATGAGTATATTGATGTTGTTGGTAATATATGGACTCTTGGAGTCAATATTGGGAATCAAAGGGGAAATGCCATGTTTGGGCATTTTTGGGTCACTAGTGTAATTAATGACAAGTGTTGAGAAAATATGGAATTGAGTTGAATACAACGAAATTGGCTCATTATGAGATGGATTAGTGAAGTTGGATTTATTAATCGCTCACTTTTGAAAATATGGATAAATTATCTGTTGACGCATTTATTATCTGTTTAGAAATAATTGCCTTGGGCTACCGGTGGAGAGTAGTCGTGATTGTTGTAGACAATGCATGATGATTAGGCAAACTAAAACTAATCAATGGAATGTGTCATCGTATATGACAGTTGAAAGAATACATTAACTTTATGTATTGTTTGATGATATATATGATAATTGTTTCTATGCATTGTGTTGTGTGGGAGGAGATAGGGGATGTACTCCACGGTTTAGGGGAAGATAGGGGATGGACCTCTTAACTGGTTAATGTTTGGGAGAAGATAGGGGATGGACTCCGGTGATACAGCTCATATGCTTATCCGTTGAAGTGTTGATATAGCTCATATGCTTATCTATGGAAGTGTTGATATAGCTCATATGCTTATCTATTGAGATGGTGATACAGCTAGTATGCTTATCTATTGTGAAATGGGAATTGTTTAATATAAATTATTATCTCATTTAGAGTGTTTGGTCAGGTTCTGAGCCATGGTTATGAATTGAGAATTGAATAAGAAATGGAAAATGAAATGAAATATAGACACAGTGGTCATGTAATGGAAATGGTGTATGAATTGGTTTATGAGAGTCAAACATTTATCAATTGCTAATGTCTTAGTTACTGCTCATATTGTGTTTAGCATACCTCTACTGGGCGTTGGCTCACCCTTTATGGGACATCATTTTCAGGTACAGGTAGCATGCCACCTCCAAGGACATAGCTTGGATGGTTATGGGAGTTGAAGACTCTTTTTGATTATTTTGTTTGTATTTCATGCATATCAAGCCAAGGGCTTATTTTGTATAGAGTTAGTACTCTTCTTTTTGTAATCAAGTGTTGACTTGGAAAGCTGTAAGCCCGTAGAGCGTTTCTTTTTGTTGTTAACTTGTAATACTGTTGTAAGAACTACTCTGATTTCTCTTATATCATCGCATACTGTTGTAAGAACTACTCTGATTTCTCTTATATCATCGCATGATGGGTTTTATGTATTTTTTTTTTAGGGCGTTACATATCATCCCAAACCAACATAGCCTTGAAAGGTCCTCCGCCTGCGACGCCGGCAAGAAGCTTCTAGTCTTTGAAGTCGTCTCCTTTAGCTTCTTTCTCTTCTCCTCCTTAGTCGCTGAGGGCCTCAAGCTTGCCATCAATCTCTTGAACAGCAAGGATGTCGATGAGGCATTTCGGGTCAATCAGTGGTCTTATGCTGTTTTCTGGAAGATTGGTTGCCAAAACCCTAAGTATGTTTTCACTCAATATTTTTGTTTTCTCATCTACTATGTGAATATGAATCTATTTTATTGCTGAGAAAATGGAGGGAAAAAAAATATTTTTTGATCTCTTACCTTTTAGTTTATGTTTTATTACCTCTGTTTGGTTGTTAAGAATATGAAAAAGAAAGAAAAGATGGAAGACAATGAAATTATCTGTCTTACTTTTGCTGTTATTTTTGTCCATTTGCTTGTATTCTGATCTTTTCATTTTAGGTTTTGGGCATACTTACTGTTTGGTTACTAGAAAAGTGGAGGGAAAGGGGAAAAGACTAAGGGTTTCTTCATGTGGTATGCAAAAATGAAAATTTTCTTTCTTTTAATCGTTCTTGTACCTATTCTGCATCTGGGTTTCTTCAAGTTTTTGCAGATGTTTGATTCACTTTTTGTTTTCACTTGAAATCTGAATTTGTTCATCTGGGTTTGCTTGCATATGTACATATCAGTTGGACTTGATTATGTTCTACATGTTGTCTTTGTTAATGTGCATATCATGCAATTGGATTTTGATCTCAATTCCCATATAACATTTTATTTTAGTAGCCTAAGAAATTTGAAGATGTTTTAGAGATTAATGGGTAACAAGTATGTAGAATTAATCAGTTGAATTGTTTGTAAAAATGATAATTTAAACTTGACAAGTGAATCCTTTGCTTGTTTGCTTTGTGTACTGTCTAAATGGGCTTAAAGCAGTTTTTCTATCACCATAGTGCTCAAACAAAAAAAAAAGAAAAAAAAAAAGAAAATTGTGTGTAGCTCTTTCTATTTCACTGATTTCTTTGCCCTGTGTTTCAAGCATGTATTTTTCAAGATTTTCTCTTATCCCAGTGCAGTTTTTAACTTTCTGGTATGTTTCCACTATGCAAGATCACTTAGATGTTCATTTGCATATGTGATTTAACCATTGAAGTTTTGGGCAAGTATGACTTTTTGTAATGGAGCTATGCTACAGAGTTTGAATGGGCCAACATGCCTAGCCCCTTTTCTATTTTTAATTTGCTACGGTTCTTATCAATTAACTTTAGTGTCAAAGGTTGAAGTTGAATCACAGTCTGCTATCTGCTATGCCTCTACTATATATTTTTGAAGCAGAAAATTTGTAAGGTTCTTTTTCTGTAATAAAAATTTATTGACTCTATCGTAAATTTGATTGCTGATGTTGGTTGAAAATCTAGACTATTTTTGAGATGTGAATAACCATTATGCAGTTCTTATATAATGAATTTTTCTGTAATTGTTTTTTATATATGTCATTTGGTCTCAATAAGAGTATGAGCTGCTCTTACTTGCCATTGTTCTAACAGACTAACCTAAATCCAAATTAGATGTAACAAGAAAAGTACCACAATTGTTATGCTTGTCCCTTACATTTCAATAGAGTATTGTCCTATCGTATTGTCTCTTAAGTATATTTTTCATGTTTTTTTGTTTTTTTGAAAATGTAATAATTTCATTAAACATTTAGCAAGAATTAAGAAAATTGCTTAAGAAAACTGTCTGTGTTGTTGGCTACATGTTGTATGTGCTTTTTATGCTATCTGCACCTGTTTACGTTGCGTTGTCTTTGTTGCTGGTTCTGGTTTGCTGTTTATGCTACTAGTGCTGGTGTTGATATGTTATAGTGGTGTTAGCCAGATATAGTTCTGCTGTTCTGCTGACCTGTGTGCTGGTGTTGCTTAGTGCTAGTGCTACGTAGTTGACCTATGGTTGCCGTTGTTACTGGGTTTTTTTTTTTTTTCTATTTTGCCACGCTGCTAGCTTCTATACAGGTGTACCTTGCCAAAAGTTAAACTTTTGAACTTTGAAGTGACCCCAACAGATGAAGATTGTACAGTTGAGATATTATCGTGCAAGGTGAGCTTCAATTTTAATTTGAACATCAGGGATGAGGTTTTTTCTCTTTCTTTCTTTCTTTCTTTCTTTCTTTCTTTCTTTTCCTTTGTTTCTCTTTGTTTCTCTTTCTTTCTTTATGTTGGATAAACCAAATTTCAATACAGTGCTCTGTGAGTGTTAATTCTACTGAGCAAATCCAAAATATTTTTATGTTTCTTCATTGATCTGAGGGCCTGTCCAAGCATGTGGATTCATTTATGCTGATGTTATCTTTAGTGCAATTGAAAAAGGGTGACCACTTTATTTTAGCTCCATTGTTTTCAGATGAATTGCATGAGGCAACCTTCTTAAGACATGTTTGTTTGGGTTGACATGAGCTTGAGATTGGACTAATAGTCCAATAAAATTATTAATCCGATATTTGGTTAAACAATTGAAGTACGGACTAATTATTTTAAACTTGACTATTAGTTAAGATAGGATACATAATCCAACGGATTCGTAATCCTAAGACTATTAGTCATGGGAATGTTAATCCAGTCCGCCCAAACAAACATGACCTTAGGGTATCAATTGTGTTTGTTTTTCCTCTGGAAACAGCTATGCTATTAGTTTTATGCTTGTTCTGTTAATTTATGTATCTTGTTAATTTATGCTTTGAGAGTGGGATTCCTATGCTCAAGAATAGGCTTCAGGAGCTCTCTGATTTAGACAATGTAAGATTTCTTCTTATGACGAAAACCATAAGATAAGCTATCATTTGTTTGGAATTAATTTTTTTGAAAATGAAGTGTCTGTAATTAGTTTTTACTTCTACAAACCAATGTTACGATGAAGTGCACCCTGGCATGAAATACTAAAGACTAAGGGTCGTTTGTTCAATTTCCTTTTCATGTTTACAAAAAACAAAAAAACAAGTTTTTTATTATTATTATTATTATTATTATTATTATTATTATTATTATTATTATAATGAAAATGAAAAAAGAAAACATAAAAAGGAAGTGTTAACAAACAACCCCAAGTGTTAAAATGAACCCACACATATAGGCAAAATATCAAATTTCCACGTATTGCATCCTGAATTGTGTGCTTGTGTAGGTTAGATGATGAGATTAATTGCTTTATAGGTCCTTTTAAATCTCTAACAGAGGTCCTGTTTTCATTCTCTCTCTAGATATCGATTGATTTTCCAGATGATGGTGCATGGAAATAGTTTCATAAACAGCTGCAGCATTTCCCAATGGTATTGTTCCTAATCTTAATATGGATGTTCTAGATCCTTTATCAACTTATTGAATACACATCAAGTTTATCAAAACATCTCCAGGAATTAATTCCATTTTTAGTTTAATTTTGCTTGCATTTTTTTATTACATTGTTACATATTGCATTGCTACATTGTTAAATTTATCAGACCCTAGAGGACGTCATGTTATGATAGTTGATAGACTAGATCCACTGGAACTAAAGACTTGAGGTGATCTTTGTAATTCTATACTATTACAAGTCTGCTAATATAATTGTTTGTTACTTTTATTTTCATGTCAGCTGAAAAACCAAGTCTATGTTAGACCTTGCGGCATTGGTTTCTATTAATTGCATGCTACTGTAATGGCACAAAACCAAAAACATCAGTTTAGATAGGGTTAGTCATAATTGTAAATTGTAGATATGCATTTTCTTGACTTATCAGTTTTCACCATTTTAACCACTGCTCAATCTAGTATATTAGAGTCCCAAACTAGAATTTAATAAAACATAATCAAAAGGAATCATCAACTAATGACAATGTGAAAATGTCAGAATAAATCATCAAACTTTTCCTGGCGCTATATAAAGTCTAAACATGTTGATGCAAGCCCCTACATACCATGGGAATAAATTATTACTTGGTGTACATCTTAAAATTCCATAAATGAAAGGAAGGTTTAATACTCAGCTTGGTTTTGTTTTCAATTTTCATAATCTGAAAATATAAAGTTTATTTTGAATGTTTAGTCTCTTCTAGGTCTTTTCATATCTTGATTCTTTGAGAAATAAGAGCAAAGGAAATCAAATTGTCTTCAAAGTTGGAACCATTTTAGCTCTAGCAAATGGGGCTTTTTATTTTATCTTAATAATGTTATTTGCTGAGTTGTTATAATTTTTTATCAATCCTCATGGTGATTCTTTATTGACATGTGATTGGTTTCCTAATTGCCTAAGCCAAACTTAGATTTCTATGATCCTTGAAAATATTTTGTTTGATTTTTATTTTATTTTTTATTTTTTTATATAATTCATTGATTTATGTGACCAAAAAGTAGTCAACATGACTTTTATATGTTAGCAAAGGTCTTCATTATTTTAAAATGTGTTGGTCTCTTGTATATCCACCCTGCATTAGATCAATATGAACTATTTCATGTTTTGTTAAGACCTTAGATTAGAGTGACCCAAATTAATAATAAACCTGCAAAATAAACTGGAGCATTTAGGTTTGATTTCCTATGATATTTCAATGTTCAGACATCAACTGGTAGAATTTGTTGGCAAATTGTTAGTTCAAGCACTATGTAATGTAATTCTGTTAGTTTTATTTTATTTTTACATAAAACTACATCACAACATATAATGTTCCAATATTTCAAGTGTCGGCATCATGTGCTTGGAATTTTTTGTTTGCTACCATGGATGTGGGTATCATGAAGCACAGTTGTTTACAATATGTTCTTGACCAATTTGTAATATTTTTTTTGCTTGTCCTTCCTAGCCCAAAGTATTTGTGTTAAAATAAGGCCTAGTTTGTGTGGTTGGTTTGTAAATTTTGTGTAAGTTGAATGTTGATGTCAGAATGAGCAGGGTATTGACATTGTTTATTTGTGGAATATTTGTGTTGATTCAGTTGTTAACAACAATATAGGAGTATGAGGAGACAAGTGAAGAACCAGTGCAAGCTGCCTTGAAGAAAGTGAACAACAAGAAGTTGAAGAAGCTGAAGATAAAGAAACACTGGTAGATACACAACAGGAGACTAAGCCTGAGCTTGAGCCTAAGGAGGAGGAAGTTCCACCGTTGATATCAACTGACCAAACTGAGGATCTGTTGGTAAGTAACTTTAAAATTAATTATTGTGTAATCTCGTTAAACTGAGAATTGTTGTATTTGGGTTGAATTGGATTTTCTAATTGGATCAAATTTGGATTCACAGTAATGGGAGCTTCCTTTTGCTCTAATTGTAATTGGGTTTGTTGTTCTGATTCTTATATTCATGATTCTTGCACATTTTGAGCGCAGGGTTTAAATGAAATAAATCCTAAAGCTGCCGAACTAGAAGAAAGTAATGCATTAGCACTTGTTATAGTTCCACCTGGTAAGTTTCATATTAGTTTTTTTTTTTCCCCCTTTTCATTTTGGTATATTTATTGGATTTGCTTGTTTATCCCTCTTCCTGGTCTGTGTAGATTCTTTTCTTTTGGGTATATACCCCATCCTATAAGGCAACCCTTTATAGGTGTCAATATTGTGCTGAACTCACACCATCATCAGTTAGATGAAAATACCTAGCCATACATATGAACATGTAGATTTGGTTTATATTTGAGCATAAGGTTTTATTAACAGCTTGATATTTTTATTTCCTTAGCTGCATAAGGTTTTATTAACCATACAATTCTCTTCTGGCTATTAATTTGTCCGCATGTTCATGTCTGATGATGAGTTTACTGCTGAAATCTTTTAACACATGAGTTTTCCTATATTCAAGGGTACGGATAAAATGTTTTACATAACCATGTTCCTTCTCCTGAGCATTGTTGCCTTGTAGTCATAGTTCATACTCAGCTGTCTTAAAGATATTTGGTCCGTTTTTTCCATGAGAATTGATTGTTCAATCAAAGTGGTTATTCTTTTTCTATTGAAGCAGGAGATGAAGAGTCAGTGTGATGAGAAAAAGTCTGATTATATCTTTTGTAAGACTAGAATAGTCTCTATAAATAGTTAGTTTATTCATATGCTTCTGCGGTTTCTGAATTAATTTGTGTTTTCATTTTTCAGGTCAGAAATTTCTTGGAGGGATGCAAAATATGGGTCAAAGAACTAAATAACTTAGTTTGTTAAGTTTTTTCATTTTTTAATATATGTAAGCACAGTTAAATTTTTTTTATTTAATTCATTTGTATATACTTTTAAACATTTAATTCAATTTATGAAATATATGATATTATTCCATTCAATATGTGGTTATGATTCAAAGTTGAGAGGGTAATTTATGAGTAAATCGGGCCGAGCTGGGTAATGGGTCGTTCTATAGGCCATAGTAAGAAGGGCTTAGTAAGTGGACCACAGTCCAGGTGTTAGCTCGGTCCAGGTATGAAAGGGACCTAGCATGTGTTAGCTCGGTCCAAGAATAATCACGGTCACCACGGCCGGAGTAGAGATAGTTGGCTCGGTCAGGGTATTCGAAGCCAAGGTATGGTGCTTTCACTTGATGGACCTCGTTCTGGTTGGCGCGGTGGAAGCTTGCTGAGGTTAGTTCGGTCTCAATGAGCACAACCGGGGTACAAACAGATAAAGGAAGGGACGAGCTAAGGCATAGCTCGGTCTGAGTTGTCATTTTCACATGACAATACTAGCCCGGTCGTTTGGTCGTACCACCGAGCTAGGACCATCTCACTTGGTTTAAGCAGTGAGGGGGGTGTTGAAAGATAAGCATTATCTTTCAGGAGTGTGACTCCTAGTAGGACTCTAGATAGAGGAATAAAGTCTTACAAGGATTGTGCCATGCGGAACCTATAAAAGCTCACAACATAACCTTTGGAAGAGGTGACACAACTTTGATTCTCGAATACACAGAGCTTTTGTCTATTTGTCTATTTTGCTGACTTAGGCATTGGAGAGGTATCCGGCACACACCCGCCGGCTAGCTCACGTTTGTGTTTTCAGGGAGTAAAGCGACGACGTTTGGAGGAGCGCAGACTTGATCAACAGGATTATACGAGAAGATTATTTCTTGCTCGTACAATTGGCGTCGTCTATGGGAAGACCAGAACGAACAAAACCTCTTGATCAAGTTTTTCTTGCTAGTTGAAAGCAATGGCGCACAATGAAAATTTGCCGCAGTTCGCCATCGACGGACAAACCCCATAGGAGGGGGAGGCGCGAAGGTTTGCCTTTTATCCTTCCCATGGCGGATTTAGAGCCCCAGCGACAGAACCCCCGAAGGGATGCAAGAGGGAGGCAGACTAACAATCCCCGTCGCTCTCAAAGTCCAGAAAGACAGAAGCGAAGGATCGATCCTCAAGTTCTGGAGGATCGCGTAAAGGAACAAGACGAGTTAATAAGGAAGATGGCGTCGGACATGGAGGCTATGAAACTCTAGATCAAAGGAAAATGGGTGGCAATAGGAGAGGGACACAAAAGCAACACGCCCCCTCGCCACTCAGAAGATCGTGGTAGGCATACCACGTTATCGCAAGCAGAGAGTAGAAGCCTCAGAACAGGCGACACTCAATCAAGGATTTCTAGGACTCGTTACTCCAGGTCTGAGAGAACGAGAACATTGAGGTCTTACACTGAGGGAAGCACCTATCGGCTCTCACGTACACACCAGACATCATCCAGGCAAACAGAGTTGCCTAGATTGTCCGACTTACGGACTGTGCTTGAAGAAAGGGCACGACGGAAGGAGGATACCAAGGCACGTGACCCTCGTAGAGTTTCAGCCCTTGAGCGATTGGCTCCTCAGACGCATGAAAGCGTCGAGGTAGGAATGCCAATACCGCGTCTTGCTTACAAACCGACAGACAAAGCATTAGCAAGGCTGCAAACCTCGCCATTCGTTCCGGCAATTGAGAATGCGCCCCTACCTTTAGGCTTCTTTCAGTCTAAATTCACCATGTATGAGGGGAAGACTGACCCCTACATGCACCTTAGCATTTTCGCTAGGTTATGGCAGTATACCGGCGAAACGAGGCTTTGATGTGCATCATATTCCCATCCAGCATTGGCGACCTAGGTTTAACCTAGTTCGAAAGGCTACCAGAAGGCAGCATAGCCTCCTGGGCACAATTGGCAGAGGCATTCGTAACAAGGTTCAGAACAAACACCAAGACGCCAGTAGAGATCGATCAGCTACTCTCCATTGACATGGGCGACAAGGAGACATTGAGACCCTACAACAGTCGTTATTGGGAGACCTTCAACCAGATAGGAGATTGCCCCACAAATCTCGCCATCGCGCAATACAAAAGAGGTCTTTCAGTTGGAAACAGGCTGAGGGACTCAATTACCATGACACCCCCCCTCACAATGGAAGCCTTAATGGATTCGGGTGGAGGAGGATGGCACCCGTGCTAAAAAAAAGTCTGGTACAACCGCAATACCAGATAAAAAGACTTCGGCAAAAGTCAACGTGGTAGAACGTCCAAGCAGAAACGGGCGAGGTAGGCGGGACAACGGAGAAGACCACGATAAAAGGTGGTTAAGAGTCCGCACTGCCATTACCATGGTGTTTAAAAAACCGATCTATCGGATTCTCAGTGAGATACGCGATGAACCTTTCGTCAGATGGCCAGCTAAATTGGGAGAGGCACAAAAGGACTATGACGAAAGATCTCGGTGCACCTTCCATAAGGAAAAAGGGCACCGCACTGAGAATTGCACGCCGTTGAGACCGCATCTGGAAGAGTTAGTGGTAGCTGGGCATCTGGACCAGTACATTGAGGGAGGGACGCAGCCAGCCCCCCAGAACCACAATCACCCAAACGAAATGCCAATCGATGCCCCACCTCAAGGTGTGATAAACGTAATACATGGGGTATTCGAACTTGAGCGAGTATGTGAGCTCAGGGGAATGATCAAGAAGGCTGAGCACTTAAGGGAGGTATTAAGTGCGCAACCTACCATTAAAAAGGGGACAACAGAGGCCACGAACGTCATGTCTTTTTCAGACAGAGACTTGGCAATGATATATTACCCTCATAATGATGCACTGGTCGTCACTCTCTGCGTCAAGGATTACGACGTCAAGTGAATTTTGATTGACCAAGGGAGCTCATGTGAGATAATGTACTACGAAACCTTCAAACAGTTGAAACTGGAGGACAAAGACTTGGCACCTACCGTATCTCTCCTGATCGGATTCAACTCAATGCCAAAGTGGCCAATTGAAAAGATAATCCTCCCAGTCAAAGAAAGAAGCATGACGAAACAAGTGGAATTCTGGATATTGAAAGTCCCTTCCACTTACAACATAATCTTGGGAAGGACATGGCTACATGCCATGCGATCGGTAGCGTCAACCTACCATCAAGTAATGCGGTTCCCCAGCGAAGCCGGAGTAATTGAAGAGGTCTTTGGAGACCAAATTATGTCCAAGCAGTGCTTCGTCACAGTAAATGGCAACCAAGCTGCCAAAGGGTTTGTTCAGATGGTGGAAGAACTTGAGAGCAATGAATTGTTTGCGGATGTTGGCAAAGCCGCTGAACAAAAGGCAGTGGAAGACTTGGTACAGGTAAGAATATATGAAAAGGACCCGGAAAAGTTCTTTTTGCTTGGCTCATCTATGTCCAGTACCGAGAGAATAGAGGTTATGGAATTCTTGACCTCTAACATCGAAGTGTTTGCCTGGACGCCGTATGACATGCTTGGCATTGACCCAAATTTCATCTGTTACCAATTGAATGTCCACCCAACTGCAAGACCAATCATACAGCGCACTCGCAGATCAGCACTCCACCACCCCGAGATAGTGGCGGAAGAAGTGGGAAACCTTCTAGAGGTAGGAGCTATCAGAGAAGTGCACTATCCCAAGTGGATATCCAATACAGTAGTGGTGCCAAAGAAGAATGGAAAATAGCGTGTCTGCATGAACTACAAAACAGTAAGCGTAGACTTGGAAGAAAATACCAGCACCACTCGTGACCCCAAGGCATCATCCGATCCCTCTACTTGCTGGAAGCTGTTCGTTGGAGAGATGTGGAAGCTCTTTGTGGATGGAGCGTCTAATAGGCACGGTGCAGGACTCAGCATAGTCTTCATCTCACCAGATGGCCTAGTAGTGGAACAGGCAGTCAACCTTAGCTTCCCAGCATCAAACAACGAAGCAGAGTATGAAACGCTTCTGGGAGGACTAAAATCAGCACTCTACATGAAAGCTACTGAGCTAATGGTTTACAGTGACTCACAGCTGGTGGTAAACCAAATTTTAGGCGACTACGAAGCAAAGGATGAAAGGATGGCTAAGTACCAAGAGTTAGTCAAAAAAGAGATCATGAAGTTCGAAGTAGTGCGGATAGAGCAGATTGGCAGAGAAGAAAATAGCAGAGCAAATGAACTAGCAAGTTTTGCTTCGATCGCAGATACATCCATCCCATATCCGTTGCTAATTGACTACCTACCAAGACCAAGCATTGAAGAACCCAAAGTAGAAGAGGTATGTTGCGCCGAATTAGGCCCTTCATGGATGGATCCCATTATAATGTTCTTAAAAGACGGCGTCTTACCCAAAGAAAAGAAAGAAGCCAACAAGATTAGAGCAAAGTCACAACGATTTTGGCTCTCCCCATCAAAGGCCTTGTACAAAAAATCCTTCACAGGACCTTACTTGAAATGCGTCCATCCCAGCAAGGTCGATGTATTCTTGTTCGAGATACACGAAGGCGTATGCAGAAGCCACCAATGGGGGAGATCATTGGCTTACAAAGCAATTTCGCAGGATATTGGTGGCCTTACATGCAAGCAGATTCAGAGAAGTATGTCAAAAAGTGCGAGAAATGTCAGAAGTTCGCACACCAAATACATCAACTGGCCAGAGAGCTTCTACCATTAACTAACCCATGGCCCTTCGCAATGTGGGGCTTGGAATAGTAGGGCCACTTCCAGCAGCACCCGGCAACAGAAAGTTCTTTCTTACAGCAACAGACTACTTCACAAAGTGGGTGGAGGCAGAAGGACTAGCATCAATAAAGGAAAACGATGTGAAGAAGTTCATCTGGCAGAATATTATCACTCAGTTCGGCATACCAAAAGCTCTAATATCTGACAACGGCACTCAATTCGATGGCAAAAGTTTTAGAGGCTTTTGTGAAGAATACAAGATAGAATTCTACAATTCTACACCGGCATACCACCAAGCGAATGGCCAAGCGGAAGCATCAAACAAGGTCGTCTTAGATGGATTGAAGAAAAGACTAGAGAAAGCAAAAGGAAAGTGGATGGATGAG